CAGCCAAACCTCATGGATCAAACCAGTCAATAGAAGATAGAGACTGGGTTGCCCACGGAGAAACCTGGCAGTTTTGGCGAGTGGTCAGGCGGTCCAATGGGTGGCAAGACTGGCTGAGGAACAACAGCCGCAGCTTCACAGATGCCTACCCCATCCAGATCTGCTTCGGGTCGACGCGCTAGACCCAGACCAGGCTGGCAACGACCCTGCTGCCCAACTAGGCAAAGACCCTGAACGGCGGTGAATAAACAGCAAGATGTTCACATGGAAACCAACTGCGTGTTTCAAGCCGTGACTTCTTCCAAACACCTCCTACGTGGACGTCGTTCTGCGGAAGCACAACAAGGCGGTTACTAGACATAAACTCTGTGTTTTTGTACAAAGACTGGTCGCGAGCTGAGCAAAAAGAGTACGCTAAAACATATGCAGTGGCTGCTGTGTGTCGCCTCATGCTACTGTGTCACGTTTTTCTTTGAGACAGTCAATTAAACAATGACAAGCATTGTGGTTGGTGAACTACATTCTGGAAAAGCTGTGTTCTAGAGTGAAGGAAACGTTACCTCTGATCGTTTATCGATGGACGCATCTCCTTTGACAGGTCACTGCTTCGACAAACTTGTTGCGTAGCTGCTTCAGCAATTTTCTATTTTCATTCCAGCTCGCTTTTTTCGGTGAGATTTCCTGGGGCGCGCACGCTGCTTCTCAAGGAATGGACACTCTGAGGTGAATGTTGCGTCTCAGCCAGGGTCGGGCTCCCAGACAGAAGAGTTGTGTCCGTGGCCGTTTTGGCTCAAGCCACGGGCTCAAGTGGTCGGTAGTCGAGGTAAAGCAAGAGGGTCCTGACAGGGACTGCATCATCCTTGTTGTCTTGCCAGGTATTGCCTGCACGAGCGCTGAGGCTAACATGTCCCATGCACAAAGAAATGACCACCGCAGTCCTCTCTGCCTGCAGCTTAACACGATTGCCGGCACCACAATTCAAATTCATGTGCCAGTCAGCATTTAGAAGAATACCTCGACGAGCACCTGCCCTCGGTAGGTCAAACAGACACCGTTGGCTGTGAACTCACCTTGCTCGATGCCGACACGCACCAAGCATTGCACGATCCCACGCAGGAGGACCTATGGTGGAACACACAATTCTGCCTTTTTGTCCATGAGTGTTTTCAGCAGGTTGAATGCAAGAACAGATTCAGGGACTTAAGTATGAGGACTGCCCGAAAGCCATCAGGGCCCTGCCAACGATACTGGGATTCTAAAGACCAAAGCTTTCTTCTCGACTGCGCGACTCCGACATGTCAAGGTTGACCCAGGGTTTCACACGGTCAGTCGACAAGCCTGGAGAGGTATTGCCACTCACTTCGAATTGTCAAGTTGCCTGACACAGTCGTCGCCATCGGATATGCTGCCTTCCAGGGTTGCTACTGCCTGAAAACGGTTGAAATGCCAGGGTGCGTCGAACTAGGCGTTCCCCTATTCTCGTTCCCCTACTAGGCGTTCCCCTAACCCAGCTATCACTGCCCCACGTGAGGGCCATGAGAGCCATGATGGACGGCGCTGCGCGACCACCCCCCAGGCAGGCGTCCCACAGGGGAGCTTCTACTGGAGTGGCATTCGGCAAGTGGTGCCAGGTGTGCACGAGAATTGCAAGCCGCTCACCCTTGAGGATATCTCTAGCGCTGCAATAGACACCCTCCCCATGCACAGCATCTCACAATGCCACAGCTTGGACACAGTCAAACTGCCGCCCTGCTTACGTGAGATTCGAGCAGAGGTATTCGTGGCTGCAAGTCCCTGGTGGACCTCACGCTCCCAGAGAGTATTCGATATATAGGGGCCTTTGGAAACTGCGTCGCGCTTTCCCACATTTTCTATTCTAGAAACAAGCTAGAAGCATGGGGATACCCATATGCTGCCTTCAATGCCTTCGAGGAATGTTTCAAGCTAGAAATCCCAAGGTGGCTCCACTACATCCCTCCGCGAGAGAATGATTGGATCGCCCCTCCTGGTTGACCCAAGTACAGGCCATCTACAGGGAGAGAAGCCAGAGTGGGCAAGGGCGGCTACCCAAGTAGCTGTCCCTACGCATTGCCGGTTTTTGAGTTGGCACGGGTTAGAAGTTAGCTTCCCCCTGGTAGCGGGTTGGCCCCATTGAAGAGTACCCCCGCTGTGGCTCAAGCCCCAAGAAGCGGATGCACACCTTGCCGCTATGGTTGGTGACGCCTGGTCACAGACAAGCTCGCTTGCTAGCAATGAACGCTCGCTAGTGCTCGCAGCTAATTCTCAACACCCTTTCAGGAGAAGAAGTACAAGTAGTCATCTCGATTTTCACGTGCAGCTGCGGACTTTGTGCAGGTAGTTTGACCGATGCTCATGGAGTCATGATAAAATGCGCGCCCGAATAATTTGCAAGCGCGATTTGCAGCGCATTGAAATTGGCTGGAGACCTAGAACGTGGTTGCTCGGGCGCTATCCATCCCACAAGCTTGGCCTGTTCTCAGAAAATTGAATGTTTTTCTTAGAGAAGGCAATCATTCCTTTTTTTCAGCTTGGGTTTTTTTATCCTTTCATGCCTTCACTAACTTCTCCTTTCATTAGCTTTCTCTTCCTTGTTGCCAAAAGAGATCTGTTCCAATTGACCACAATAATGTTGTGCACGCTTTTCTCCGCAAAACGATTTATGTACCAGGCTTTCTTCCAAAAAGCATATTCAACACGAACAAAAAAACACTTTAGCATACAACAATTTGTACAATTAAATAATTCATTGTTGTATAATAAATATACTAAATCGAATTTAAAATCAATTTCAAAAAAATGTTTTATACCCAAATTTCCTTTCAACATATAAATCATAGATGTCATTTTTCTTGCTGCTTGCAAGTCAATCTGCTAACAGCCCTACTTTTGTATACACACATCTTTTTACTTCTTCAAATACCCTAATGTACCTAATTTCATTCAAACCGGCAAAGAAGCCCAAACAACTTTAACAACATAATCTTTCAAATGGGTACCGCCAACAAATGCAATGGGTTTTTATCAAACACCTCATTCTCATTTTCGCTCACTCTCACCCACCCACCTTCAGTCACTCTCACTTACCCAATCGACCGCCCACTTTCACGCGCACTTACTCACCCACACTCACTCTCCCCCTCTCACCCGCACTCACTCTCACGCACGCACACTCACTCTCCCACTCTCACTCACGCTCCCTCTCGCCCACACTCAATCACACCCACCTTCACTTCATCACCACCATCACCTCTCTAGACCCCAATGCGTCTAGATCTCAAGACTTTCTGCTTACCGATCATGGATGGTGACCCAGTCATGTTGTGATGGTGTCCCGGTCGTGTTTTGATGGTGTCCCGGTCATGTGATGGTGTCCCGGTCATGTTGTGATGGTGCCCCGGTCATGTTTTGATGGTGTCCCGGTCGTGTTGCGACGGTGTCCCGGTCATGTTTTGATGGTGTCCCGATCATGTGATGATGGCGCGGTCATGTTGTGATGGTGTCCCGGTCATGTTTTGATGGTGTCCCGGTCGTGTTGTGACGGTGTCCCGGTCATGTTTTGATGGTGTCCCGATCTTGTGATGGTGGTCATGTTGTGATGGTGTCCCGGTCATGTTTTGATGGTGTCCCGGTCGTGTTGTGACTGCGTCCCGGTCATGTTTTGATGGTGTCCCGATCATGTGATGGTGTCCCGGTCATGTTGTGATGGTGTCCCGATCAGGTTTTGATTGTGTCCCAGTCATGTTGTGATGGTGTCCCGGTCCTGTTTTGATGGTGTCCCGGTCATGTTTTGATGGCGTCCCGGTCATGTTGTGATGGTGTCCCTGTCATGTTTTGATGGTGTCCCGGTCATTTGATGGTGTCCCGGTCATGTTGTGACGGTGTCCCGGTCATGTTTTGATGGTGTCCCGGTCATGTTTTGATGCTGACCCAGTCATGTTGTGATGGTGTCCCGGTCATGTTTTGATGGTGTCCCGGTCATGTTTTGATGGTGTCCCGATCATGTTTTGATGGTGTCCCGGTCATGTGATGGTGTCCCGGTCCTGTTTTGATGGTGTCCCGGTCATGTTTTGATGGTGTCCCGGTCATGTTGTGATGGTGTCCCGGTCATGTTTTGATGGTGTCCCGATCATGTGATGGTGGCGCGGTCATGTTGTGATGGTGTCCCGATCATGTTTTGATTGTGTCCCAGTCATGTTGTGATGGTGTCTCGGTCATGTTTTGATGGTGCCCTGGCCATTTTGTGATGGTGTCCCGGTTATGTGATGATGGTGTCCAAAGAAGAGATGGTCGATGTGTTGAAAACAGCAGCTGTTTCCAGATTTTTCTTTTTGTCCTGGTTTGTATCTTGCTATTGGGGTCTCCAGCTGGGCTAATTATTAAAAATGAAATTCATCATACATATTAAATTGTCAATCTTAATGTCGGGCTGCTAGTAGCCTAATCGTGTTGTGACCGTGTCCCGCTTATGTTGTGATGGTGTTCCTTCCGGTCATGTTTTGATGGTGTCCCGGTCATGTTGTGATGGTGTCCCGGTCAAGTTTTGATGGTGTCCCGGTCATGTTTTGACGGTATCCCGGTCAAGTTGCGACGGTGTCCCGGTCATTGTTGCGGCAGTGTCCCGGTCCTGTTGCGATGGTGTCCCGGTCATGTTTTGATGGTGTTCCGGTCATGTTTTGATGGTGTCCCGGTCATGTTTTGATGGTGTCCCGGTCAAGTTGTGACGGTGTCCGGTGATGTTGCGGCGGTGTCCTGGTCCTGTTGTGATGGTGTCCCGGTCATGTTACGGCGGTGTCCCGGTCCTGTTGTGATGGTGTTCCGGTCGTGTTGTGATGGTGTCCCGGTCATGTTATGATGGTGTCCTGGCGGTGTGTCGGTTTTGCTTATGGTGTCCCGGTCCCGCTTTGATGGTGTCCCTGTCGTGGTCGATGTGTTGAAAACAGCAGCTGTCTCCAGATTTTTCTTTTTGTCCCGGTTTGTATCTGGCTATTCAGGTCTCCAGCTGGGCTAATTAATATTTGCCGTCTCAAGAGTTTTCCCTGCTGATTATAATGCATGCAAAGTACAAACGGTCCGATTTCTGCTTCTACAACGGAACCCTTGAGGCGATTTTGCCTCAAGACTGGGCACCTTTTGGCCTAGCCACAAAAACAAGGGAATAAAGGTAGTGAGACCTAAAAAAAGGTGTGCCAAACGAAGCCCTTCACAGGGATATCTTGCCAATTGGGGCCGACAACCTTGTCGCAAGTTGCGTGCAAATCCCGGCCACGTGGATCACCACATTTACGGTAGAGTTCGCAAAGCATCTCGAACAAAGAATGGCAAGCAATAGGTGATCTTGCTCTGCAACCCACGTGTTGGGTTGTTACCATGCGTGATCCCGACAGTGCCTGCCATCTTGCCAATCAATTTGAACGAGAAAGCAAGACATTGGAAAGCAGCTCGCGTCCATCGGAAAACGTGTGGTGTCTTGCAGAACTGGTACAGTAAATGTAGATGATGAAACAGTTCTTGTGGAAGGCTCACTAGGTTCCAGACTGTTTGGTTCTCAATTCCGCCGCTTCACGCAAAGCTGCGACGGTTGCAACACCATTCAGTTTGACATGGATCTCACACGAACATTTGTTCAAAGGCGCGTTGTGTGGTACTGCAGCTTGTGGCATGCGCTTGAGGAACCATAGCTTTTCGTATTTGAAGACATCTGAGTTTTGTGCGCGCTGCGTCAAATAGTTCTCGAAGATGCGCCGTAAAAAAACGCAAGGACATTCGCCGCACTGTGCTGCATTGATGCAATTACTCTGCGGTGCGTATCTATTTCCGAACACTCCGAGAAACAGGACATGATTACACAACCAAGGTAGCTTGAACAAACCTACATATGCTTGAAGAGGAGTTGCGCAGGAACAAGAATCTTCGCATCATCACACCGTTCAGGGTTTGTCGGGGTACTCTTTAATTGAAACTCTAATTCAACTGAAAGGTGCAGGAACAAGATCGCCCCAAGGAACGACTGCGACAATGTTGTTCTCCAATGGTAGCTCGTTGATCACCTAAGAGAGAACGGTTGAAAACAGTCTGAGTCACGAACCAAGACAAACGCATCTGTTTCATGCTGAATACGCAAAACATCTGTCGCCATGGGGCAAAGCCAAAAGTGCGGTAGGCGGTAAAGGCACCACCAACAGGCATCCAAACCAGTGTAGGGATTCTCTCCAAACTGCCGAGGACTTGTGCAAGGCCACCGCCCAACGAGTGCCCAGTTAGGATCAAGTTGTAGCCATCCTGACACCGAAAAGACACATCAACGCAGGAAACCAATACTGCTGAAAGGAAAAGAAAAGGTCCAAATAGAGGTCTAAAGAAGAAAACTTTTCCCAATTAGCAGCCATGTCCAAGCTTCAAACTTATGGCGTAACGGCAGTCCATTGACAAAAAACTTATTTAAAAAACCCTTCCAATCCACAAGCCGTTTCAGCTGGTTCAGGGAGGTGGGTGCGTGGCACTTTGATGCGGTCTGTCCGAATTGGGTCTCGGCCGCACGGCATAAGCCTGGCAAGCAGAGACAGTTGGGCCAAAAAAAGGATACAAAGAAGACATAGCCAGCGCACCGACATCATGGACTCGCTACACCGTTCTTATTCGTCACTTCTTGCTTGCTTCCACTTTCGGTCCTCTCTTCCACAACGACCTCCTGGATAGAGTCCCAACTTACGGTCGAAACTTTCAGAACTCCCCTTTTCGCTACTCCAGACTCCTTCTTCAAGCTGTCTTGTCTTGTTCCCGTCCATGATTTCGCGGGCCATACCGTTTCAAGAATCCTTCTTCGCTTCCAAGACTTGATGCCAGCTCCATCCCACTTTTCTTCCAGCGCTGAGAAACACACTTCGTTCTGTGAGAAAGATAGCCGCTGCACTTCCAGCCTTGTGCATCAGAATCATATCTCTAAATCACACTCCCTATCGTCCACCATAGACATGATAGTACTAATCAAGGCACATGATCCCGACTGGGCGACCCGTCGCGTCACCCCGCTATAAAGTGCATTGGCCTCCTTCGCGCTGTCTAGCAAGCAGGTTCAGGGCCAGGAAGTCATCTCGAGTGAGGAGGGCTGGCATCCTCTTGACACATGATTCCCTCTTCTCACGTTGAGTACCAGCGTTCCTAACCACCTCCACATAGACCAAGACATAGCCAGGTGTGACAGCCCCAGCGTCTCCAAAAACAAACAAACGTCTCAAGCCGGCAGATTGAAGAGGCTGTGGCGCCGCTCTTCCAGAAGTGGAGCCACCTCATTCAAGATGCAACCTCTTGACTTCGCTCGTGGAAGCTTCTGTCATCGAGGATGTGCTAGACCGAGCGTTCTCTTCGCATGAAAACTCGACCGCTGGCCCCTAGACTCCTTTGTCGTTCATCAATCTGGCATTGGTCCACATCACGCTTCCGCTTACGACTTGTCTCCAACTCTCCCTCTTCTTTCCTGCGCGTCCACGCGCGCGCAAGATCACCTTCATGAAGATGTAGCCATCCTTCTTGGACAAGTCGCCCATTGATCCATCGATCCACAATGAGGTTCACGCTACACTGTGTAGGCGCCCGGATCGACTGCGCGCAAGGATTTTTAATAACGGGATCCTGCCGCCCTTGTAGTCTTCCCCACCTCTTCACCCGTTTTTTTGGGTGTAAACCTCAGCCCAAACATAGGAAAACATGCGCGGGCTAAAGGGTGAGTGCTGGGGTAGAAATAACAAAAATAACAGCGCCTTCCCCTCTGCCATGATTGTCTGGCTGTCTACCGAAAAACACTCTGGCCAATCACCCCTGAAGGAAGTCTTAACGGATCAACGCATGGATGGAGTCGCAATGTTGTGGATCAAAGGGTGCGCAGCATCAAAGCTACCCCATTCACGGTTAGGGTGAATTCCCTAGCTTGCAAACCAGCAATGAAGGGTGCCCCGCGCAGTTGAAGCACCCAACCAACTCACTGCCATCTCTTCAGTTCTTGCCAAGGCCATTTCACTGACCACCATGAACTGGGGCAGCGCAAATGTGGACATCATTGAGGGAAGCATTCAATCGGAGACGGCAATCGAGCCCAATGCTGCAAAACCACTCTCCTGAAAGAGTTACCGACACCTGGAAAGACCTTTGCGCAGTCAAGGCCGGTTGGTCCGTCAGCAATAAGGACTTGCCAAGTATTCAGGTGATGCTGTACCTTCATCCCTAAGTAGCTGCATCTCCGGGTCAACCCCCAGTCTGTCTAAACGGTTCCCTTCCATGCCTTCCAGGAAGCTTTCTTCAAGGGGCCGCCCTTAGCTCCATCCCCAACATCGGCGGGATCGATCGTCCTCATGTTCCTGGAATCGAAATTATTCGACTCTTGAACCCTCACAAGTTCAGACCTCTGATCATCGCAAATCTTCGTTCTGCGTCTCCCCCACGACCACTGCCTCACGGTCTTCAAGCCCCCGCAAGACCATCAAAGCATGAAGTTCATCAGCATATTGAGTCTGCCGTGGGAGAAATGAGCACCACAACAGCAAGGACTGTGCTACACACTTGATCTCGGCCTCACTCACACCACCATCCCCCTTGCCCAGGAGACCTCTCATTTCCTCAACTCATAGCCAGAGATCCTACTACTGTGAATCCAAGTGTCTCACTTGCGCAGGAAGTGTAAAGCCTTCACCGTGCGTCGGGCTTGTTACGGCCATAGACGGATTTGTTCATCTTAGTTCCAATGTGTGGTGGCTATCTGCACTTTGCTGGGGTCTGGCATATGATATCTCTAGTTTCATCATATGCTTTGCCTTGTAGGAAGGCAGTCTTGAGGTCCATGTGGTACAGATCCCGATGGCAATTAGCTGCGAACTCTGCCCATTCTCCATGAGACTTGTATCCTCGCAGCTACTCTCACCTGTGAGTGAAGCACAAGACGTAGAGCCCAAGGATTCATTCTCTGAAACTTGTTCAAGTTCTCCCCGCTTCGAAATCGAAGGTCTGATGCCATTCCCTTCGTACTTCACATGGCGTATACAAGTTGTGGCACACCGGTTTGCTGGAGAAAGAATCTCAATCATTCTTTAGGCCGGAACCAAAAAAATCATAGACAAGAATTCAACTAAGTATGGCCTGCTAGGAGGCGACTTGAGAACCCTATGCTTGGACTATACCTGGTGAACATCAGGTCTCAGCTCTCAACCCCAAAGCTCACCACGGAACAACCGCCTCAGCTGACAGAGAAGACATCCATGTCTCCTGCCAGTCTTTTGAACTTGTCTAAAGTGTTTGGCGCCCAAATGACGATGGAAGAAGGCCTGCGCAAAAGTATTGGCACGCCCCAAGCCAGACAGCGCAGGGCCCACTGGCCCTCCCGCCGTTGGGCAAGGGACAAGCGCTCAACCGCCATCTCATACTTCATCACGGTTGTCTCCGTGGTCTGGAAGGAAGCAGCTCCAACAAGGCAAGCCAATCAACATTCCTCCAGCCTGCGCATCCATTTCCGGCGCGCTGGACATCGGCCCCCCAACTCGCCCCCCCGCGCTTCAAAAACCCCGAGGGCGGGACAGGGTCCCCTTCTCAGATATGTTGCCGCGCAGCCTCTGCCCCGGTGCAGAGGCAAAGCCATAGCCCAAGGAGTAAACCAAATTGACTCCCAACATAGTCATGCCTTTTCATCCCGCCCCTGGAACCCAACAGGCTGTTTCAGCGCGATCTTCCAACAAGGATCGTTTCGCACCATTCTTGAAACTCTCCAAGCGTCTCCAGACCTCTTTGCCCAAGATCAACAATGTAGGCCACACGGTTAATCCCATGTCAGTTTAGAGAGCACCTTCGTCGTCGATGGTTTTTGAACAGAGCGAAGCGCATCCACAAACTCCCGTTTCCGGGCATCGTCCGACACTGTCCATCTTTCTGGGCCATCTCCTCCATAGGCTTGTGCTCCTTACTGACATTGGCCTGTCTGCAGCCTTCCGGATCTACCCTGGGCTTGCGCCAACATCTTCTGCTTGGCCTCAATGTACTGGTTCTTTTCCTCTCCCTGGGAGATGTAAGCCTCCCTTTGCTTGGTTGAATTTGGCGCGTATGGGGCACACAAACTCCTGCCATTTGTTGTCCAATCCCTGCAAGTCTTTCCCGGCGGTGGCCACTTGCTTTTCAAGCTTGTCGACACGCGTCACATGTTGGTGACGTTGGGCTTCTGGAGTTCCACGCACTGTCCCGCAAACCTAGGAGTAGTTCCTCCACACGATCTCTCCCCATCTCTGCCGGCTTGTTGGCTGCTTCGTCCTTCATGGCTGCGTGTCCTGATGCCGTGGCAGCCAAAGAAGGAAGGTTGCAACACTTGCTGGCTGGAACCAGTTTGCAATTCCTTTGACTTTCTTTGCGGGCTTCGGTCTCTGATTTCAACTCGGCCGCTACCAATTGGTAATTGGAGTAGCGGCGTCCACATCCTCCGATCCAATTGTGCTTGTTGGGTTGCCTCTTCCCACAGCTGCACTTCCACGCTCCAAGCATCTTCACCGGCATGCTGGCGTGAATGTCTGAGGAGTAGCTGTGCTGCTGCAAGATCTGTCTTGGAGGGGAGCCAGGTGCCCCACTTGAGGCTCTTCCGGGCCCTTGCTCCTGCAGCGAAGATTCCTGTGCCAACCTCGCACCTTCAAAGAAGCAGCTCCAGAAATGAAGGCCAAAGGGATCGCAACAAGAAAGACGGCGCGCCCCCGGCGCATGAACCGACAAGCACTAGGGCTAAGCTAGGGTCTCTAAAAGAAACCCGAGCTGAACCTTAAAGAAAAAACAAAAGAAAGAAAACACCGAAAAGAACAAACGAGCTTTTGATCGACCTAGCTGCCGGGTCAGCTTACTTTGGTTGGTAGCAGGTGGGGCTGAGGATGGTTTTAAATCCAAACAAACAGTGAAGTTGATATTTGGATTGGCTTTGTTATTCTTGTTCAGGCCCTTTCCAAACATAAGACACCTTTCGCATCTTCTGCGTCCTTGCTACTACTTGCCAATGATTTCTACAAGCTGGTTGCAAACAATACTTATATGTTTTACAAATTCACTTGGTTTGCACTCCGCGTCCTTCTCGCTGAGTTTCTTGGCCGCTTGGATCTGCTTTAGAATTCGAACCCATGGATGATCTAGTCCCAAGAGCCCGCGAACATCGAAGCTGAGCCTTCTCGTAGCAAAGGTAACGGGGACCAAGGTGCCGAAGGGAAACGCGTTGATCCTGGGAACGATTTGTTTTCTTTTATTTAAGAAAACAATTGAAGCAACAATTCAAACCCAGCAAAGTAAAGGGACTTAACTGCTTCATTGCAATGCTTTGAGACATCCTGTATTCTTCCGCAAAAAACAGGCATGAGTGGGACCTTATGGACAAATATGTTGCTGTGCAATAAAACAAAACCACCAAGCTTCACAAAGCTGTGGAAGACTCCAGGACCCCAAACGTCCAAATTGAAGGTCCAATCTGGAGCTTGGCTTGAGCCACGGATGGCAATCACACGCGTTTTCACGTTGGACATGCTGAAAACGCCAACGCGACCAACTTCTCCTGTATCCTGGATGGAATCTATAGTCACTGGATAGAGCTCAGTGTTCAACGTGGCGTTGTCCAGTTCTTCTTGAATATCTTTTCGAGGCCCGATATACACTGCTTGTGCAAAAGCCAGGAGATCAAGAGCTGTGAGCTGGGAGCCTTTCGTAGGTTTTGGGCTGTCCCACTGGATGTTGTTGCAAATTGGGTATGCTCCAAAGCCTGCAAGCGCACCTGGTGCTTGGTGATTGACATCAAAGTAGGATCCGTTCGGCGCTGGAGAAAACATGCTCTTTTCAAGAATTTTATTGGGATCACCTGGAAGAAGACCAGCCACCACCACAATCATTGCTGTCACGATGTAGATGATCATCGAGCATGAGTAGCAGGAACAACAGGGACAAGTCCCAACTCCCCGCACAAGCTTGGGGAAGATCCTTGCAAGACCAAAAGCTGCAGCAAGTGTGCCGAAAGCCGTGGAAACAAGCAGGAAACAGTCTTGATGGAAGTACCCCACCACGATGCCAGAGACGTTCTGTAAAATCAGCATCACGAAAAGGGCAGAAAAGCCCTGTCCAAGATGAACCTGTTTTTTTTGCAATAATTGGGTCTTATGGAACAAACAACTCAATGGCATGTCACAGCAAGCAAAGGAAAGACCTACGCAACAAAGCAAACCATGAACCCGAATGCAAATCACTGTGAATATGCCAGCTTATGTGACACTCTTGATGGGCGTTTTGGTTGACAGTTTCGTAGAGCGCTCTTTGGTGCGAACCCCCCCAAGCAAGCCCCTGTGGCACAGTGGCATGACCGCAAATCCTCATGGCGCGGCGCAGCAACTGATGACCTCACGAATGCTGCGCCTGCGCTTGGAAAATAAAGTTTCTAGACTTTTTCACGCAAACAAACGCGACAATGCAAACGGTTGCGAACATCAGCTACGTCACGCGAACACGGCTCCACCCCCAGACCCGCAAAGCTTAATGGGAACCCTCCAGCATGCGCATGGGGAAGGCAGAACTTTGGGCAGTGTAGCTTACTGTAGCTTCGTCGCCCGCGTGGTGAACAAGCCCTACAGCAAACTACCTTGTGGATCCCCACGATTAGCTTCCTTTCGGCGCCTGGGCCTTTCACTGTGCAGCTGGCAACTGCACCAACCATCCTCACCGCTGCTGAAAGAGGAAAACAAAACAAATCCATCAGCACCCCTGTGACTCCAAGGGTTACACATACATGCCTCCCCGAGGGGAGGCGAACTAAGGTTCTTTTGAACTAGGCTCCGGACAGCTGAAGAGGGAGGGGGTGAGATTTCCCCAGGCGTTATCTGGGGCCTGGACGCTACGTCGTCATTTGTCGCCTTGGGATCGGCTTGAGCTTTTGGCCCCACTTCCGTTTGAGGACCTCCAGGCTTCCTTGGTTGTCACTTGATCTGGTCAGGATTTGGGTACCCAGGTTGGCGTGTGGCAAGCCGCATCAAATCAGCGCGCAATTTCATAAGTGTGAATCACACCCAGATAGCGAAGCTATAGGGGTTCTTACTTCTCAATGGATGGGTTCCTGATTGCGGAAATTGGCTGCCGCTGCCGCTGCCGCCTTGTCTCCCAAGCTTGTCTCCCTTCATGATTTCGCTTTTGGCTGCCGCTGCCGCCTTGTCTCTTCAGCTTGTCTCCCTTCATGATTTCGCTCTTGGCGCCGCTGCCGCCTTGTCTCCCAAGCTTGTCTCTAAGCTTGTCTCCCTTCATGATTTCGCTCTTGGCTGCCGCTGCTGCCTTGTCTCCCAAGCTTGTCTCCCTTCATGATTTCGCTTTTGGCTGCCGCTGCCGCCTTGTCTGTGAAGCTTGTCTCCCTTCGTGATTTCGCTTTTGGCTGCCTCTGCTGGCTTGTCTTCCAAGCTTGTCTCCCTTCATGATTTAGCTCTTGGCTGTCGCTGCCGCCTTGTCTCCCAAGCTTGTCTCCTTTCATGATTTCGCTTTTGGCTGCCGCTGCCGCCTTGTCTGATCAGCTTGTCTCCCTTCATGATTTCGCCTTTGGCTGCCGCTTATGCCTTGTCTCCCAAGCTTGTCTCCCTTCATGATTTCGCTTTTGGCTGCCGCTGCTGCCTTGTCTGTGAAGCTTGTCTCCCTTCATGATTTCGCTCTTGGCTGCCGCTACCGCCTTGTCTGTGAAGCGTGTCTTCCTTCATGATTTCGCTCTTGGCTGCCTCTGCCGTCTTCCAAGCTTGTCTCTCTTCATGATTGTTCTTTTGGACGCCTTGTCTCCCAAGCTTGTCTCCCTTCACTTGAGAGGAGGGAGACACGAAAGGTAGGACAGCGGAAAGAGAACAGAACGCGAGCGGCGCGAACAAGACCCAATTTTCGACAGGGTGATGTATGAGAGCTCTGAGGACCGCTCTGAGCACCCCGGGGGCTACCTTTCGTGATTAGAATTTCATGTGCACTCTAAAAAGTTCAAAAATATTCTTAGGAAAATTAGCCCAGCTGGAGACCCCAAAAGCAAGATACAAACCGGGACAAAAAGAAAAATCTGGAAACAGCTGCTGTTTTCAACGCATCGACCATCTCTTCCTTGGACGCGACCGGGGCACCAGCATGACATGACGGGGACACTGGGACACAATCAAAACATGACCGGGACACTATCACAACATGACACCGTCACATGACCCGGACGCCATCAAAACATAACCGGCGCACCGCCAAAACATGACCAGGACACCATCACAACAGGACCGGGACACCATCAAAACATGACCGGGACACTGTCACAACACGACCGGGACACCATCAAAACATGACCGGGACACCATCACAACATGACCGGGACACCATCAAAACATGACCGGGACACCATCAAAACAGCATCACAACATGACTGGGACACAATCAAAACATGATCGGGACACCATCACAACAAGACCGCGCCGCCATCACATGATCGGGACACCATCAAAACATGACCGGGACACCGTCGCAACATGACTGGCGCACAATCACAACATGACCGGGACACCATCACAAGGTGACCGGGACACCAACATGACATGACGGGAAAACCATCACAAGATGACCAGGACACCATCACAACATGACCGGGACACCGTCACATGAGCCAGACACCATCAAAACATAACCGGCACACCGCCAAAACATGACCAGGACACCATCACAACAGGACCGCGACACCATCAAAACATGACCGGGACACCGTCACAACACGACCGGGACACCATCAAAACATGACTCGGGACACCATCACAACATGACCGCGCCACCATCACATGATCGGGACACCATCAAAACATGACCGGGACACCATCACAACACGACCGGAACACCATCACAACATGACCGGGGCACCGTCGCAAGGTGACCGGGACACCAACATGACATGACGGGAAAACCATCGCAAGATGACCAGGACACCATCAAAACATAACCGGCATACCGCCAAGACACCATCACAACAGGACCGGGACACCATCAAAACATGACCGGGACACCGTCGCAACACGACCGGGACACCATCAAAACATGACCGGGACACCATCACAACATGACCGGGACACCATCAAAACATGACCGGGACACCATCAAAACAGGACCGGACACCATCACAACATGACACAATCAAAACATGACCGCGCCACCATCACATGATCGGGACACC